AGTTATAAATTATGTGAGTTATTAATAAATATATTACGAATGCCTCATCCTCTAATCAAAGAAATAAAATTTGAAACACTATGGAACAATTATAACATTGAGTGACCTTAAATGACATTGTTGAAGTAGTGATTATCTCAGCAGCCAAACATAGCCAAAAGCTGTCAGAGAATGTGAGGATAATGACATACATGTAAAAATCCTGTAAGGCATAGTAACCACTAGTGTGATAACAAAAAAGGCAAATGGGCCATAATATCCTTATTTATAAAGGTAATATATTTTTGAGGAAAATATATGTTTGAAACTATTATTATTTGTTCATTAGTCTAAGAATTTAGGAAATAAATTGATTTTTACTTAGAATTTGCTCTGAAATGACAGATTCCTAGATTTTCAAGAGACAGATAACTTGAGGAGTGAAGGCTTAGAGGCAACAAAATAGCAAATTGTGGTTCTGGAAGAATTGAAATAAACTCAGTCAGAAACCTGAGGACATTTGAGAACTTTAAAAAAAGTAATCTCCTGATGAATAGACATGTGATTGGAGTTTTCTTAGAGAATATTAGCCAGTGAAAGTACCAAAGCTCACCGACATGGATTCACAAAACTGATTCTTATTGAAGATATTTTTGCTGTGTTTCTACTGTGCACCATCTTTTGCCACGCATATTGCAAATTCTATGATAATTAAGTTTTTATCAGGTAGATATGAGGGTAAAGTGCAAATAGATCTGTTGGACAGAGAGTGTAAGAAAGAGATAAATTATAGAAGTTACAGGATTTTAACTTTCTCTTAAACAATGAACAGGAAATGAAAAAGAACCACCATTGTGGCTGAAAACACTTGAAAAGTGGACAGCATTTTCAGAGCAAAACAAAATGAAAGTAAAACGAAATAAAAATTAAATTAAAATAACATGCATGGAATTTAAATCTACTGTTTAGAAAAAGAAATAAAAGTAAATCTGGCAAAAGGAAAGGCCAAATGCATTTCAAAATAAAATCTTTAAATCATGTTTAAAAAGATTATTTGAAAGTTTTTGGCTGATTTAGTCACTTATTTATATACTTTTTTTTGGTATTTGGGGATTGAATTGAGGATCTTGAAGTTGCCAGACATGGCCTCTACCCTTTATTCATGCTCCCAATCCTTCTGCTTTTGGTTTGTTTTTCACATAGGATCTTTTTTATTTTCTGGTACTCAGGGTAGAGCTCAAGGTCTTGTGCTTGCTAGGCAGGCCCTATAACTCAAGCCATATACTAGCTCTTTTATATCTTTAGTTATTATCATTATTATTATTATTATTATTATTTTAGGCAGGGAGTTGTGGCTTTTCTCAAAGGTCAGACTTGGACTGCTTTCCTCCTACCTATGCCTCCCACATAGCTGGGATCACAGGCACATACAATCATGCCAGGCTTACTAGTTGAGGAGTTTCACTAAATTTTTGCCCAGGCTGGCTTAGAAGTATAATCTTCCTGAGCTCTGCTTCTAGAGTAGCTGACATTAGAGGCAATGGCCACCTTGCCAAGATCAGATAGGAACTGGTGCTAACCCTGCCCAAATTAGTTTCACACCACGAATAGCTATTCAGTAGCAAAGGTGGGAATTACAGGTGTGAATCACCGTATCTACCTACTGACTTATTTTTAACTACAGCTTTAATGTAAATCTCAAATTATCTTTGAAGTACCTGAAAGTGCTAGTCTTAGAGGTACTATTTACGCTGGGTAGAGTAGTGGAGAAGGGAACACATTTTTTAATGAAGGCTAGAAAAAACTTTCATGCTTGAGACATCTCAAATTTAAACTATGCTCACTGAGTTCTTACTGAAGGATGAGGACCAGGCCTAAGGCATTACATAAGCAGAATTTTAAGAAGCCTAATCTATGGGATGCATGCATGTTAAATGGCAATTCAAGAAATTTGAAGAATCCAAAACCAAAAACACTGCTATTATAATAAAGGCCAGTGATCACATTTTTTGTCAATTTTCTGTGTGCCAAATTACTTATACTGTCCATTGTAATGAAATTATCTTTTTGGTTATATTACAGAGATATCATAAAATGCAGCAATATATAAGGATGCTTTCAATTTTGTGTTATATAAGAATACCACAGTTTTATGGAGTAAGAAATATGCAGAAGCAGTTTAAAAGTGCAGTTTGGTATGTAGAGCACATCAAAGGACTTAGTGGCAGACTGTATAAGGGCTGTGAAGAAAATATAACAAATTTATCCACAGGTATAAAATAAGAATCTATAATTAATAATCATTTCCCTGTCATCCCTGAATACTACATGAAATATAATCTAATTCAAAGATTGTATCACAAAGTAAATTAAACTGTCATTTCCATCAATATGGTGAAGAAATTGCATGGAGGACATTGCCTGGTTATAATTGGAGATTTTCAGAAAGTAGTTTCTTAGAAGGAAGAATGTAAAAGGATTTGGATAGTCCTATTTAGAATGAAGAGTCATTTAGGTTTGCAGTTATTCCTGTAGATCATTTGACTTGGTTACACATCATCAATTTAAGCTAACATCTCTATTCACATTTCTTTAAGTTACATTTATTTTTCTCCAGTAATGATGGTTTCATTGAAGACAACGTAATTTCACTTTCTTTCTTTTTTTTTTAAAAGGAAATTTTGAAGAAATTTCCAGGGCCTTGAGGACCTTTCAGATGCTTAAGTTAGAAAGGTGGCAATGAATAGGAAGAAGACCATGAAATACTAAAATTTTGACCAAAGTAAAGAGTCTTAGAAGTTTTGCTTGGTAACAACAGGGATTTTGAGTTCTAGAACTGTGAAATACTACCATAGTGATGAAACAGGGCTTGGCAGTATGGCAGGTAGCAGATGAGGAAGCAGTGTGCTCAGAGATGAGCACTTAGACTCAATGCTTTTAATAGTTCACTGTTGCCTTATAATATGATTTTACCAGATCAGCAAGGTAAGCAAGCAAAGGCTTATCAAATTTTATAATACATTAATGTAAAAATAAAGAACTATGGCTGTGAATACTATACAAATAAAATGAAAATGACTGCAGTTTCAACTTCACCCTTAATTGTAGACAGCATATAATTATCAGACTCTAAATATAGAATTCCTTCTGTAACAAGCATCACAAATATAAAACATATTTTAAAAATCACATATGCATACATATATATGCTAATATGTAAACACTAATATTTGTATATAAAATCAGGCAAAGAATAATTAAATATGTTTAATCTATGACTATAAATAACAAGATAATTATCTTCATTTTTGAAAAATTTTCCAATAAAATAAAATAACAATTATTAGTATCTATATCTATTGACTCAACACTTTAAGACTGCAATTTGCTCTGGCAAAATATTGTCATTTCTGTAAAAAATATTCACTACAACATAATATACAGGGACAGGAAAATACATTATAGCATATAAGTACTAATACAGATAAAAACATAAAATTGAAGAGACCAAGAAAAGTCTATTTATGGAAAATGTGATAAGCAATTTGTGGAGAAATACTGTGTCTGACAGACCACAGAAACAATCTTATTGCATGATGTAAACCAACTCATCATCTAATTGAATACACCATTTTAATAAGAACTGTATAGATTCTATTCCTGTTTTGATTCAATGAACAAATTAATTTCTTGATGGTTCATTCAGCTTTGCTTGAGCAAGCAAACGTAAACCCATGATATAAAACACCAAAGTAAATTATATCTTTGGTTATTTTCATATGTATTTAATCATAAACAAAATATTATTATAAGCATTAATTCAGGGACAAAATACCTATTTTGTGACATAAAAAATAAGAGGATAATGATGCTTAATGGTGAGGATTTTCTAGTTTGTCAATATACAGAATTCTCCACTGGGGAAAACAGGATACTGCATTTGGCAGAATCATTTAAATATATTAGGCAGGTAACAGAGAAAAAAGTGGAATATTTTCTTAATAATATTGAAATTTAAGCAATGGTCATAAGATATTTGGTGATTTTGACAATAGTTATGATTAAAATGAGTTATTCTTACTATTTTTTTGAAATCTTATTCCACTGCACATCAGCATATCATTTTAACTTGCCTCTAGTGACCATAAAAGAATATTCACAAAAATTTCCTAATTTCAGCCTCCATGAACCAACAGCAGGAGAGTTCTTCAGTGTATTCTTCATTGTCAAAATCATTTGCTAAGCCAGCAATTCTTAACATACAATTCTTTAAGTCACTCCGTAGAAAAAAAGTTCGTATTTGAGAGATATAGCATACTCTTTTTGGTAAATCTGTAAACATGCACAGGCACAATGCATGTTTATGGATAAATTATATCTGTTATTCTATTTATATATCTAACACTACATTCAGAGTTAGTTTAATTATGATTATGAATATATAACAACTAGTAAACAAACCTCCATTTTGTTTTGTCAAAAAATTCTCATACTTCCTTTACAGACATGTTGTGTTGTTGCCATCCTAAAATGCATAGAAAACTTTGATTCATGCTATTTAACTTTGATACATACTATTTAAATATGTAACATTGAAGTAAATATTAGGGATGCTGGTGAATCCTTCAGCATTAATGAAGGAATCTTTTTAGAAATTTATTTACTTTAGATCAAAATCAGCCAAATTGACTATTTGTAAGGGAAAATTCATGGATATCAGGCATATGTTAGAAAGTTCAGTACAGATTTGCACTCAGTTTTGCACCATCCCCCCCACGCCTTGCCCCAAGTCTGGTGTGGATCATGCCGCTTGTGGTAGTTCTGATTGCCAAGAAACGGTAGCCTAGGATAGTTGGCTGTTAAGTTACAGCCTGCCCCGCCTGACCCCTGAGAAAGAGGCGCGTTCCCCGAGGCGTGAGGGACGGGACGGGGGAAGTGGATAGCGAATTCGGATTCACCTGGGAGGGGGGGAGTGGAAGTTCCTGCCCCGGACAGTGGCGATGCGGCAGCCACAGTCGATTATGGAAGATTCCCACAAGAGTAACTCTTCAGAGACTGCACCTCAGCCAGGTCCAACAGTTCAAGAAGCGCATATTTCTCATATTGCTCAACAGGTATCATCTTTATCAGAAAGTGAGGAATCTCAGGACTCATCTGACAGCATAGGCTCCTCACAGAAAACTCACGGGATCCTAGCACAGCCCCCATCTTACAGAAAAATTTTGAAAGACGTCTTTTCTGAAGATACTCGGGGTAGAAAAGGAGATGGAGAAAACCCCAGAGTTTCTGCTGTGACTTCTATGTCTGTTCCAACTCCCATCTATCAGACTAGCAGCGGACAGTACAGTATGTATAGGATTTGTTTCCACATGATAGACACACAAAACTAACTTTGCTGTGGAAAGAAGTGGTGTGCAGAAAGACTGTCATACTTTCATAGCAGTAACTATTAAAGGACGTCGAGAATAAGGCACAATACTTTTCAGCATTATCTCATTTGCTTCTCACAACTTTGTGAGTTGCCATTGCACCAAATGGAGCCTTACAGTTGGCCAGTCCAGGAGCAGATGGAGTACAGGGACTGCAGGCATTAACCATGACAAATTCAGGCAGTACTCAGCAAGGCACTATTCTCCAGTATGCGCAGACCTCTGATGTACAACAAATACTTGTGCCCAGCAAGCAGGTGGTTGCATCAGGAGATATGCAAACATATCAGATCCGTACCACACCAGTTACTTCACTGCAACAGACTGTGGTGATGACATTTCCTGTGACTCTTACGTCTCAGACAGCTAAGACAGATGACCCCCAACTGAAAAGAGAAATAAGGTTGATGAAAAACAGAGAAGCTGCTCGAGAATGTAGCAGGAAGAAGAAGGAATATGTGAAATGCCTGGAACATGGAGTTGCAGTCCTGGAAAATCAAAATAAAACTCTAATAGAAGAGTTAAAAACTTTGAAGGATCTTTATTCTAATAAAAGTGTTTGATTCCTAAAGTATTTTGTGGACCTGCCTAAAAATTAGATGGATTTTTTTAGTGGAGTTTTATAAATTAAAAAGGTCAAAAGTGAAGCTGAGTTTAGGCTTGTGCCATACAGAAGCATATGTCTTATTGCAAGCGATCTGGTGACAGATAATAAAGTGGAAGATGACCTCAAGGACACTGCTGGCACAACTGGAAGCTTTGTAAAAGTTAAACACACTGAACATGAAGAAGAAAGGCTCTCTTTGCAACTCTAGTTTTCTAAATAGTAATAATTGTCAATCCAAAAATGGCAGATAAGATAAAATTTGGTAAATTTAATATTTTCAAATAAATCAATTTACCCTCTAGATTTGCATTTCTTAATGTTTCGTGAAAATTAACCTTTCTCAGTTATATGTGGTTGTGTGTGTGTTGCTATGAATAAATTCTAAATTACAAATATAAAAGAAAACCTAATACATTGCTAAATATGTAAATTATGTGTTCTGATTGATTATGTATACTTGTTCTATTGTCAAGTCTTTAAAATGGGTTTTTAAACGTTTGTTGGACTTGAGAGTTTTTGTGACCGGGTTAACCATTTTTGACGTTTTTGTCCTATTGGGCATTTAAGGTACATGAATGGAGTGTGGTAATTTTGTAACATTTTGTATCAGAATGGAAAGAACTGTTTAAAAGTTTGATACTTTTACATAGTTTGGTTTTTGCTTACTCTGGTAAGGTTGATTTTTTACAAATATGTAACAAATTGGGTTTTTTGATTCTACATAATATATGCAAGTTGAAATATCCATTATTCATCTGTTGTGCTTTGATGGAATGAAATGTTTGCATAAGTCCTTAAAATATTGTTTAAAAAACCTAAAAATGCATACCAAAGTTTTTCCAAGAAGATTTTATAATCAATTTAATGTAAGGTTTATCAGGTTCTAAAATAGCAGTTATTGAGGTAATTTTATGTTAGAGACTATTTTGTAACGTAGTGAATGGTACCTTTATAAGAAAAGGGACTGCCAATATATTTTTATAGCTAATCTTTATAAATTCTAATGTTGAGTTTTTAATGATTATTTTAAATGTTTATATAGTTTAGTAAAAAACTTTTGATCTCAAAGTATCATTTTTATATTATGGGAAGTAAAGCTTTCAGATTGGCTAAGGGTTGAATTGTAAGTTTTATAAGCAGTTTATCTAGAAGTTCAAAATGTGGTCAGCATACCAGTGTTTTAACCTCTGTATTCTAATTTGTATACATTTTGAAACTATATTGCAAAACTGTTGTTTGCTTTTTATATGTTTCATAATGTTGTCTGAAATTAAAGCACATTTGATTAAAAAAAAGCAGTACATATTAAGAACTTAGCAGCTCATGTTTGATGCTTGTATCCTAGTACTTTGAAAGTAATAATTTAATCTCCTGAATTTAAGGGATTATATTCAGTTCATGCTACAGAATATATCTTCCATCAAGATACTGTTAAGAATGAGCATGAGTTCTACAAAAGACAATGGCTTAACATCAAAGGCCTCTTCAAAATTTTAAGATAAATTTATTTCCATGTAAACTATCTATATACAATAAGCTCCAATTCCAGTTCTGTCATTTATGAAAATTATTTACATAAAGAGTCTGTTCTCTGGAATGATCAATTATTTATAAAATCTTCCATCATTTTACCTGAGACCAAATCTCTACAATTGGCCTGGCATTCAGTATGACAGGGAGAAGGTTGTACCTCCAAATTAATTATGATAATTGCATCCTAGATAACCACATTCTTCTGCTTTGTCAATACTTCAATTGTTGCCTACATCATTTTGGAAAATCAGTCCATTTTTTACCTCTCCATGTGAATAATCTCCTGGCAATTGCAGAATGTAAAATTTGACCATATGAGAATCCCTAGATATGAAGCTAAATTTTTGTCTGTGTACATGTGTTCAGGGAAAATAATTCTCTTTCCTGAATATTAATGCTTTCCTTTAAAAAACTGAGGATGTTTTAGTTTTGAGCTTCCATTTCATAAAGAAATGTTCTACACATCATTTTTATTTACAAGAGGTGTTCCTCATAGTTCAGCCTGTGTTTTTCTCCTAGAGAAAGTGAATAGATGATGATTTATGAAGAATCTAAAGATGTTAGCTTCAGGGCAACTGAGATCAATCTCATTACACAACATTGTTATGAAAGCAGCTAGCTTTACAGAGGGCAACTATTATATGTGGCATACAGTAGGTTTAAGGTTAAGTACATATTGTAATTTTTTTTTTAAATGAAATTATTTAAAATTAAAATAGATTCATGTGCTGCTATGAATATGAAAGAAAGAAAAATTTTTAGAAAATTTGTGCTTTGGTTTAATTCATTGTACCATTTTGAACTTTCAAGATGGAATAAAGGGTACTTTTAGAAAATTCAAGCAAAATCATTACCTATCACAGCATTCTAGCTAGAGATTAAATTCATTGCTTCTATTTAATATATGTTTTTGTGTGTGTGAGATACTGGGGATTATATCCAGGGCCTCATTCATTGAAGGCAAGTGCTCTCCCACTGATCTATACAACAGCCCCTGGATATACTTCTGAAGCATATGAAATTAGCATGATTCTTATCATGACTATAATACATTAGAATAGTTTCTTAAAATCAGAAATAATGATTAACAGCTTAAAAATATCAAGACTACTTTATAGGAATCTGTATGTTCACTAACTGTTAAATTATAAAATGTAGATTTATATAGGCTAAAAATTATTTCTTACCTATCAAGAAAAGAGTTTTAAAATTATCAGATTGCCTTTTAATATTGACCAAATTTATGTTTACCAAAGTGAGCAGAAATTGTTTCCCAGTTTGAGTTAAATTTTGAGAAAGTTTGAACCTGTAACTGGATCTCTATAACTGGAACACGTAAAATGAATTGTATATCATATAATATGTTAAATATATTATTATTTTAAATCACAGATAAAATATGTAAGCCTAGTGACTTGCTACTTGATATGTATTATCTCAGAATATTATATATCAAAGATACCTTAATTTTGGAATTGATGTTTGCAGATACAATGAAGGCATTTAGAGGCTCTTCCAAAAGACTCTTAGGAGGGAGGAATGTGTGCATGTTTTTGTCCCTTAGTTTGTATTTAAACCATTGCATCATGCCTGGTTTTAGCACCTGGCGTCCTCTCTTTATAAGATATAACTACCTATCATTTTTAAACAAGCAAAAAGAAATGGTTTATTAAGCACAGTGAAATTGTGTTCTCTATTGAGATTCATCATAAAATTATAGTTATATCAATACAAATTTGATGTTATAAGTTGAAAGATTTAAATGGCATAAGCTACTTTCTTGATGTTAAGAAAGAATAACTATCCAGGTGTGGTGATATTTTCAGTAAATGTTTCTGCAGAGCTAATTAAAGGCTTATCAAATTATGACAAAGATTTAATCATCTGTTAGGTCACAAAGAACTAATCTAAATCTGTCCTCAAAGAAGTTTGTTAAAGTCAGTTTGAATGTGAACTAGTGTTCAAAACTGCAGGCTGCCATCTGGGCTATATCTATCACCATATTTTCTTTAGTTCATCAAACTCTTCTCTGTCTAAAACAGCACTGGGTAGATGTGCATCTTGCAAGCCTATATAATGAACAAGCTCAGGAATTAAAAAAAGGATGTAAAGTCATACGATCTTCATAGCATTACTGAGAGTTGCAATAATTCTCTAAATGGAGAAAATTATGAGAAGTATGTTCAACTTGGATCTTAATTCTAGTCAGAAATCAACTATCAGTAATATGTGAGAGAATGGGTACTTCTTTGTTTTTCTGAAAATTGTGTTGCATGAATTCTGAAGTAATATACTAGAGATCAGTACTCCTAAAACTTTTCTAATATTAATTTAAGCTTCACGTGAGTTTTCTAAAAGTATCTGTGAGACACAAGGGGAGACTGAGTTATGCTGCTTAAAGACTTAAAACATACATTAGCATACTAAATGTTCATTGAAATGATTCAGTAAATTATTGACTTCTTTTTTCAAAATTGCTGATTAACATAAATAATAAAATATTTTGCCAATACTGCCTTGATATTTAATAAGAAATCATTAATATTCTAATCTTTCTAAAGTATATATCTTATCAATTTCTACCAACTTACAATTATTCAAATAGCAAAGTACCACCTTTAGGCTATATATCTTAAATAAAGCCCCCAATGGGGTGTAACACTTGATTTATCTGAATTATACCTGAATAGCTTAGAGACTTTTCCTAGATAAGCAACTCTAACAGCTTGCAGCCCTCCTACATGAAATAAAATAAAATATCCAGGGTGCTATAAAAAAGCGAAATGCTGTAAGTCTGTGAACTTCCTCCTATTTCTGTTTTATTTATACTGTTTATAAAAGTAAATTACTTATTTGAAGTACTACTCTTGAAGCTGCCTGTATCTCTATGGGGAAGTACTCCTGTGAATCCTCTTTTATGGGAAGTGGTTGATCTTTAGCTCCAGGGATGAGATCTGCAAGGTTGAAAAGCTTTGCTTTCTAAGAAGAGAGTCAGTCTGAGCTGAGAATAGGGAGACCTCTACTAAGAGCCAAACCTGGGTGGAAATTACTTCTTTTAAACTGACTCCTGTTTCCAAATAGTGTACCCAGGACAGCTGATTTTCTGTAAATAGTTTAAAAATGTTGTCTTTTCTGTGTTGGCCCCAGAGAAGAACAGCAAAGGTAACATCTAACAGGAGTATGAAATCATTTCATAATTAGACCAAACATTTACCACTTTTCTTCTCATTCTTTTTCTCTTTTTCTTTCTTTTTAATCAAGTCTCAAACTTGGTTAAGAAATAAAAATGTTATTTATTTGGATGAGTTATTTTAACACAGGAGAATAATTCATTCTTAAATTTACAAATAACTTTTCTGAATATACTTGTCTAATAGGATGAGAATATACACCAGGTATTTATAATTATCATTTTATTTGAGA